TACACAAAATTACCTTAATTTTGGTATATATTAATGTACAAAAGATCTGTTATGAAGTCGAGAGGTGCGTTTGAAGGTGAATGTTTAATGCAGAATTATGCAGAAAATCTGCATACGGGATTTAAGGATTTCGTCGGCATCGTAGCTTGGGGAGCAGAATTGGAACGTCTTATCAGATGAGTTCCATTAGATAGGACTCGGGTAGGAAATGAATCCTTGCATGTGTGATTAATTGTCGAAAACTATTTAAATGTTAATGAAGTGTTGGGATTGTTTGAAATTGGAAAAGAATGATTTTAGAAACTTAAAAATGCAGAAAATTGATTATGGGATCAAGAACTCGATTTCCAGTGCGAAAATGGGGAAAACCACTTCTGGAGTGGAGGAAACTGATTTCCTTAAAAGGGGAATCCATTTCCTGAAGTGCTGGCAGCAAACTCCGTTAAACTTCATAAATTCATAACTTTCGCCTCTGGTGTCAGAACGACGCGTGGTTCGTATCGTTAGAAAGCTAATAGAATGTATTTTCTAAGAAATTTGTTCAAGAACCATTAAGTTTGATCTAAGGGTGTTAGGACCCAACTTGGTGAGTCCTCACGGATAAAATTGCATGTTTAAATTCCCCAGAGTGCAGTTCTGTTTCGTTTAGGGAACCGGAAGCCGCCTTGACTGTTACGGCCATTGTGCAGATTCTTATGCTAAATACTTCAGACTGTTATGGCCACTGTGTCGGGCCTAATGCCGAGATATTTCAGACTGTTATGGCCACTGTGTCGGGCTTAGTGCTGAGACACTTCAGACTGTTATGGCCACTGTGCTGGGCCTAGTGCCAAGATACTTCAGACTGTTATAGCCAATGTGTCGGGCCTTGTGCCAAGATACTTAAGACTGTTATGGCCATTGTGTCGGGCTTTATGCCGAGATACTTCAGACTGTTATAGACAATGTGTCAGGCGTTATACCGAGATACTTTAGACTGTTATGGCCATTGTGTTAGGCCTTGTACCAAGATACTTCTGACTGTTATGGACACTATGTCGGGCCTTGTGTCGAGATACTTCAGACTATTATGGCCACTGTGCCGGGCCTAGTGGCGAGATACTTTAGACTATTATGGACATCGTGTCGGGCCTAGTGTCGAGATACTTTAGACTGTTATGGCCACTGTGTCAGGACTTGTGCCGAGATACTTCAGACTGTTATGGCCATTGTGTCGGGCCTTGTGCTGAGATTCTTCAGACTATTATGGCTATTGTGTCGGGCCTTGTGCCATATATATCTTCTTATATTGTGGGCATTATGCTGGGCCTTGTGCCATGTATTTATTCTTTAGATTAGGGCTTTGTGCCGAATATGTCTTCTTGTTGCCTCATTGGTTAGTTATGAGACTTCCAATGGTGGTGTACCTCTATTGTGTACCTGCACCCAACCGTAAGGAAACTCTGGATCCTTGGCAGATCCGTTTTGATGCATGCACCCTGTAGAATCGAGTGAACTCATAAGATAGGGGAACTCACTAAGATTTAGTAATCTCACCTCAATCCTCTTATTATTTTTTCAGGAACAGGTTATGGATAGAAGAATTTCTAGATGGTCAGTATTGAAGACTACATACGAGCAGATGACAGGAAGACCTCATCAGATCTCATCTTTGCGCTGTGCATTGTTGAAGACAAGCTGATTGTATATATTATGATGTTAGAGTTGTGTTATGTATGATTTCAATTTCTTGTCTTTTCTAACTTTTGTATGAAGTGTTTCAATACACTACAATTATTGAATAACATATTAGTATTTTACCTACAAAAATAATGAATAGAAAGAAATAAATATAATTATTAATAACGGTAGTTAGATATGATTATTAATTACGGTAGTTAGATGATATAACCGATAAATAAATATAATTTTTATAAATAATATTATTATTAATAACGGTAGTTAGATGATATATTATTATGAGTTATGCTACTAAATGTATTTTTTTTAGTATATTAATATAATAAAATATTTCTAATAGTCTCAAAAAAAGCACTAAAATATTTCTTTATAAATATTGATATATGGATTTCTGTTTACCTTGAGATAAATGAATTTTTTTTTTTTTTAAATAATATATTTTGTGAAGAATAATAATAACTTTAAATAAAATTAAAAATCGTTAAAAGCTACATACTTTATTATATAATCTTAATAATATTGTTGTTGCTATACGTCCAGTGATACAATGTTAAAGAAAAATAAAAAAAATTTAAACTAAAATATTATTGTGTTTACGATTTTAAATGATAAATAATATTTCAATAAAATCCTCATGTTTATAGAAAAGTTATAGAAATGAAAAGTTTTATAAAATATTAAAATAAAAGAAATTAAAAGAAGAATTAAAGACTTCATAAAATAAAGATATTAAAATTAAGGAAATTATGAAAGTTATTGAAATGAAAAGTTATAGAATTAAAATATTATAAAGTATTATGAGTTATAGAATTATAAAAGTTATAGAAATGAATTTTTTTTTAAATATTAAAGTAAAATCTATTAAAATGAGAATTAAAGACTTTATAAAAAAGATAAAAAGAAAATTAATAAAATATTAAAATTAGGGTACATTCAAAAAATGATTTAGTTAATTATAAGATAAAAATATTTTTTACACATTAAAGTGAGAACTATTATTGAGAATTAAAAAACAGTAAAAATTAGACTAATAAAATAATTGAACGGTTTTTTTTATTTTATAAATGTAACTTTTAATTATTATTAATATAATTATTATTAATATAATTATTATTATCATGACCCGAAGATTTGGGAGGATGAGCTTCAATGGCTTATTGTTAATAGAAGGGTAAAGAGTGAACAACTTCCCTATAGAAACAGGCTATTACTCAAGTAGTCTATGAGATTTGGAAGTTTAGAAATGATTCCATATTTGGTGAGAATAGTCATATAGAAAAAACTGTAGCTATGATAATTGATTGTATAATTTATAGAAAGTGGCCAAATAAGAAAATTAATAATATAGTTTTCTTTGGCTTGTCTTGTTTGGTTGAATATTTTAGATCGTCTTGTTTGTATAATGATTTTTGAACTAATATATATTTTTTTAATTTAATTAAAAAATATATATATATATATATATATATATATATATATATATATATATATATATATATATATATATATATATATATATATATATATATATATATATATATATATATATATATATATATATATATATATATATATATATATATATATATATATATATATATATATATATATATATATATATATATATATATATATTGCGTAATAGATAAATAATTATAATATTTACATATAATAATAATATTATTATTATTATTATTATTATTATTATTATTTTAATTATTATCATTATTATTATTATGTTTATTATGGTTATTATTATTATTATTATTTTAATTATTATCGTTATCATTATTATTTTTATTATTATTATTATTATTATTATTATTATTATTATTATTATTATTTTAATAGTATTAGTTGAATATTATATGATTATTATTATTATTAATAATAATAAAGTAAGTGAAAAGTTATAGAAATAAATTTTTTTATAAAATATTAAAATAAAAAATATTAAAAGAAGAATTAAAGACTTTATAAAATAAAGATATTAAAATTATAGAAATGAAAAGTTATAGAATTAAAGTATTATGAATTATAAAATTGTAAAAGTTATAGATATGATTTTTTTTAAGATATTAAAGTAAAATATATTAAAATGATAATTAAATAATTTATAAAAAAGATAAAAAGAATTTAATAAAAATTTATAAATTTGGTACATTCAAAAAATAATTTAATTAAATATATATATTTTTTTTTTTTACATATTAAAGTGAGAGTTATTAAAGTGAAGACTATTATTAAGAATTAAAAAACAGTAAAAATTAAACTAATAAAATAATTGAAATAATTTTCTTTATAAATGTAATTATTATATAATTATTATTATTTTAATTTACTTTTATTATTATTTTTTATATTTTTATTAATACTAATAATGGTGACTTAATATTATATTATTATTATTATTATTGTTATTTATTTTAATTATTATTATTATTATATTTATTATTTTAATTATTATTATTATTATTATATTTATTATTATTATTATTATTATTATAGTGATAATTTATCTTATTATTATTATTATTATTATTATTATTATTATTATTATTTTGTAATAGTGGTAGTTGATTATATTATTATTGTTATTATTTTAATAGTGTTTGTTGAATATTATATAATTATTATTATTATTGTTATTATTAATTATTAATGTATAATTATTTTAAGAAAAATAGAATTAAGATTGATGTTAAAATAGATATAAAAATGACATGTGTTTAGAGTAGATGTTAGAGTAGTTATTAGATTGACATGTTTGTCATCATGACAATCTTAATTCTATATTAACTAAATATATTGTTTCTGCCGTAGCAAACTCGAGCAAATGAGCTTTTCATCCTTTACTTTTACTATTTTTTGTAATCCACTTTAATTTTTCACTAGTCGATAACCCGTGCTGTCGCACGGGACCGGTCGAGAATTCATAAAACGTGGAACTAATGTTGTCATGTAACAGTAAATTCGTTTTTATGTAATTCAATAAAAGTTCATCTAATTCGGCCAAATTCAGTGTATCAAACTTATTTGACAACATTAAAAAAGTGGTCATCATGGCATCTACCTACTCATGAAACTTGTTATTCCCTGTTGCAGAATTCACCCAAAGTGTTAGTTCAACACTCCTGCCACAACTAAGAATAACAACATTGCAATTAATTGATAATGATACATTATCTTAGAAATCTACGGTGAAGTACATCTTTAAATCTGGTGAAAGATTCTTTTTCGTGATGCTTAGGATTTAATTACCCTAAATTATCAAACAAATAGTACTTGCAAGAAGCATTCTCATGAAAGAGATTATAATGTCAAGCACCTGAATTAAAAAACAAAAAACAAAACTCAAAATCATAGCACAATTGCTCGTGAATATGTGTATATAATAAGAGAATCACGTACACCAATTACAATAAATTACTGACCACAAACTCGAACATGCAAATAAGGAGCTTTCATCTCAGCGTCCAATCGTTGAAGAATAGACCGGTCAGCCCTCGTGATAGAAATTGTTAAACCTGAAGGAAAATGACATGATAATCAGAATTTTTAAATGAAATCGGCATCCAAACTCTGAGTGTGCATACATTGTCAAACTCTTTCAAAAGCTCTTGAGCCTTAGAGCAAGCTTATCCTAAAACAAATACAAAGTCAAAAGATGATAAAATATTCCTAACAGTAGCATGACATAAGGGGTGTCTAGCTTCGCAAAATAATGTATCATGATAATTTTCTCAAATATTTGAAGCATGTCTACATTGCAATAATACACATGCACATATTTGTTGATGTTATCAAGCTACGCTTTACACTCAAGAAATAATAGAATGATACATTCTAAGGAAGCAAAAATATGTTCTCACTTACTGTTTCTTCAAAGCAACATATGAATTCAAATATTTGATCTGCAACGGAAAATGCAAATATGCTAACCACCCAAAACTCGTCCATCAACCCCTGCAAGAGAAACATATAGACTGCTTGGTCTTTTATGTTAACCCATAGTATATATAGGGGCATATCGCCTAATAATGATCAAATTTACCCTGCAGTGCAAAATGAAGTTTTGTGAAGAGAATTGAACCCAGGGAGATTGATATATAATTAATCGGTTATTTTGGCAATGAGAGAGATAAAGTGGGAGTATGCATTGAGCCAAGAAAGATATAATGCCTCACATGAAATGGCTTTTCATTTCTCAAGGTGACCATATGGCCATTGAGTTTCTTTGAAGTATTTAATATTTGAAATTTGAAATCCAATTAGCGTGAAAAATCGCTTCACCGGAAAGTCCACCTTACTCTCGTTGGCCAAAATATCCATAAAACTTTTCTTGGAACCGACATTATCCAACTCTAAGCTGTTGTTTTTACCAACATTGGGAAAATCATTTCTATCTACCCAATTTTAGAAACACCATCAAAGACTAAACTACTCTTTGAGTTGATGTGCAATCCTTCATCTTCAATAATGGGAATATTCATATTCTTCATCATAGAATTGAAATCAGAAAAATCAGAAGACCAAGGAGCACTTTCATTTCCATATGGAACCAAAATTGACTGAAACAATAAATAATTAACACCAAGTGCTGCCAACAGACAAAGAATCTCATGTTTCCATATGACACAACTCATGAAAATATAGAAACATGTTAACTTGTGAAAACTAAGATAACCCCAAAATCACTTCAATCGTCATTTTTTCCCGAAAATGAACTTCAATCACACCTAATTCAGTTAATTGATAGAAAACTTGAAAAGAAATCAAAGGGTCCTAAAAAATTGGAACTTTAGATAATTAGAGAAAGTTGATGTATTGCAGATCAAGTAAATAAGAAAGAAAAAAAATAGAACACAAAAGAAACAATTGAAGTTTAAAATATTAATGTTTCTTAAACATTTATGTTGATTGAAGTAACTGTACTAACCTTAGGGAAGTGTAATTATAGTTCACTTCAATCTTTGTATATTGCTCTCTTTTCGATCTTCAACTTTCTCAGAAGTCAAACAAAGAATCACTACTCACTATTAACACTCAGAAGAAGAAAAGATTAAAGTTACTAACTTCTGAATCTAAAGGCAACAACTTGCTAATTATAATAATTTGCATAAATCATTAACATTATTCATGTATAAGCTATCCAAAAAAATAATATTTATTTCTCACTTTCTTTTTCACTTTAATTTTTGTAGACAAACACCTTGGTTATATTTTTATAAATGAATAGTCATTCTTAAATTCATGTGATGTTTGCATCAGATCAAGTATAAACAAAATCAAAGAGAGTTAAAACTAATTCTCTTGTCTAAACCACCAACTTTGAGTGACATCAACAATACCTAAAACAGAACAAAGGAGAAAAGGTGAATAAATTAGTGACTCAGCTGCTGTTAAAGTTCACTAAAAACAATCAATACGTTTGTTTTGGTTTAAGTTACCCTTTTCACTTTTGTGTTGTTAACAGCTCAAAAAATGAAGTCCATTTCTTTTGTGGTGAACTCCTTTCTTCATTTCCTGGAAATTTGAAAACCCTTCTTCATTTCCTGGAAATTTGAAAACCCCACCGTCATCATAGACATTTCATCGAACACTTAAAGTTCATTGAGGTTTAGAGTAAAATTCTAAGTTGTGATTTAACAGAAAAGAGATTTGTACACTTACCGGTAACAAAGTCTGAGCCAACCTTCGACTGCTCAAAGCACTCTTTATTGTTGTTGTCCAAACCTTCACCATGAACATCGTCGTTCAAAACTATATCCAAACCATCACCGTTGTCGGTTCCAGTGTAATCATCATTTGCAACGGCGGCGGCACCAGAGGCCTCGCCCTTGTTGTTTGAATCAACGCAGCCATCGTTATGACTTTGTTGTTGTTGTTATGGAATGGGTTCAGTGATTTTGTGATACATTGAGAGAATAACAAAGAGGGATTTCTTGTTTGCAGAATGGATTAATTTGAATGATAATATAGAGCAATTCTTTTAAAGAGAGTATTTTCTTAATACATAATGAAAGTCCATTGATGGAAGACAAATTTTAAGGATGCATTTAAATTTGAATATCATTTGCCTTTCCAACTTCTGCATTGTATCTATTATTTGAATTGAAATTAATCTCAAAATTATTGAAATTGAAAGAAGAAGAAAAAAATCTCAAGAGACAGAAGAAGCAAATTGCATCAATAGAAGCTAGTGTCTGGCTTTTATTATATTTCTTTTCACTGTTTTTAGTGGATATTATTCCACCCCTACTGCAAAAGAACATGCATCAGACACTGCAGACTAAAGAAGCATTTATTTGACTGAATTAAATTAAATTTACATCACGGCTACAGAAAGGGTCCTCTACTCTATATACTGGCAAATCAAACAAAACATTGCACCAGAAACCCAACGTGGAAGTGGAGCTGCTCTTTTGCGGCCTTCCCGCAGTGAAAATGGGGTCTTGCAATGCACGGCAGGATGAGGCAAAAGTAGTAGAGAGTGCTCTTAGATGACAGTACCACTTGGAATTAATGCATCCTTGATTACTGTGACAATACCACTATTTATGAAATAACCTTCGGTTTCCCTTGCAGCTTCTTGTACATTGTCACTGTTAATGATCTGTTGAAACCGAATGTAAGATTTCCAGTAGAAAAACAAAACACGTATTACATTGATTTGAAAGCAACACAATAGGGAAGAAAGCATGCGAGGGCAAGATAAGGAAGAATGCATGAAATAACCTTGACGTCGTCACCAATTCTAGCATTCTTGTCAATGATTGCCCTTCTGATATGAGAATTCTTCCCAATACCAATTGGAACACCGCCTTTAGCAGCCAAAAACCTCCTATCAGCATCTGTCTACAACAACAATAATCACAAGACCAATACTAAAGTTAGTACTTCTTCTCAAGCTAAAGTTGATTCATATAAACTTAATTCTGCAATGGGTATTTAGCAATGTTACCTCATAATAATCTGCTCCCATTAACAAAGTGTCCTCAATGATTGCACCTTCTGATATGCAAGAACGCAGTCCAACAACAGAATGGTGAATTTTGCAGTTCTGTGGAACAAAAAATTGAAAATATGGTTATTTTACTTGTCACATTCTTTAAGATCTTTGCAAGGAAATGTACAAACTTTTTAAGAAAACATATGAAAGTTCTGAAAAAGCTTGCCTTAATTACACACCCTTCACCAATAACACTATCGGTGATATCAGCATCAAGCATCTTAGAGGGAGGCAAATATCTAGGTTGGGTGTAGATCGGAGATGAGCGGTCATAGAAACTGCAATTGATGTCCCAACAAACATGAAAAATCTCAAAGAGGCTGTTACTATGGTTAAAATAAAGTCGATGGTAGGATGAGTAAATTAAACGCCAACATTAAGTTACCTAAAATCTGGCACAGGCTTTTTGGTGATTCCCAGATTTGCATTATAGAAAGCAATGAAAACATAGATATTTCAGCTTCTCAAGATGTTTTATCAAGTAAGCTAATAAAAATATGTATTATAAATTTACTTTGTCATATTCATCCTTGCTCTATCGATACCAGTTCCCTTCTCACAGCCAAGCTTTTGTCTATTGTTTAGATTCTGCACCCAAAAATGTCCCAATTATATAACTCCTTTATAACAAACCGACACTAACAAATATCCATCTAGCATCCCCTTACTTCTCTGTTGATAGCTTCAATTTTTCGGTTTGACTCCATATGCAATCTTTCCAACTGCATCGATATTTTTTCCATCCTATTCTTGATAGCAGAGAAGATGAAGAGTATATGAATTAGATTATCAAGTAAGAGTAAAATATTATTGATATTTGATCCTTAAGCATAAATAAACAACTAAAATAAAGTATTACAGGAGCAAAATTAATACAACATTATGAGTTCACCACATATAACAAACATTCTATGATCGTATTTTTGTGTTTTTTATATCAACAATTTAAAAGATTTACGCATGGTCTTTAAAATTGATTAGTAAGTTCAAATCAATACTTGATAAACTTGACATCTTTTACATAAAGGAACTGAAAATCCTACCTGCATAAAGCATAAAGGGCTCAGTTGAACTCATAGCCAGTGCAAATTCAACATTATCTTTATGCCCAATTAATACCTGCAAAATAGTAGCTTATAATTTCAGGTGCCTAACTTTATGAATAAAGACATGTTGAATATACATTATTTATTCAAACTTAAAAAATTACTTAGCAACAAAAAGAAGTAAATTTATGAGCAATGTTGTTAAATAGCCACTAACCAGTATAGCGACACTAAACCATTATAATATGGCAGAATTTGATAAAACTGCTATTGTTCCCCATACACTATTTAATACAAAATAGTCAAATAGAAAAGCACTATCAGATAGGATTATTATAATTGTTAAAATTTACTAAATAGTTAAAATTGAGTGACTTTTAAAATAGCCATTTAGTAACATAATGCCCTGTAATGATGTTTGAATTTAATAAACTATAGGATGTTAGGAAGTTATTACAGTATGTTGTCTTTTCATGGAGAACCATTGCAACACACATAGAAATCCAAAAGCATGAAAATTGAAAATTTGTTTTAGCTCTTAAAAGAAATATTCTCTAAAGCAAAATCAAATATTCTCTTTAAAGAAAAGGAAGAGTAACGAAGAATTTGTTCTCTGATCCACTGCTCAACCAATCTTCGACCGTCACCGAGATCCGATATTTTAGCTGACAACCACCAAAGAATTTGCGGCTAGCCACCAACGCCTTCCTATAGATGATACGAAATCGGCAGAAATCGGCCATTCAACAGATGATACGATTACAACTTGCAACCAAAAAATTAAAACATAAACCAAATTGGTATATATGAGAAAGAGAGAAGATGAAATCCACTAAACGAAAGAGAAAAGAAAACATATGGGTTGAATAACAAAAAAAGCCCTAACCTGTTTCGAATTTCCAGTTGAAATGGACATAAATCATGTGGAATTACAAAGAGACATTGGTGTTTATGTAATAGTTCAAAAATGGCAGCTGAAGAAACTCAAGGATTTATGGGAAGTTGTACCTGCTGGTTAATTGCAAGGGGACTCTTCATTTTCCACCTCTATACATGTACGTGCTTTTAATTCTTTATGATTAGGTTTAAAGAATTCCAAAGGATTATTGGTGTTTTGGTAGTGAAACAAAAAAAAATTGAAAATGTGGTGAAAAATTATGGGAGTGCCACATCAGATTCAAATCAATGTGGTGCAAGATATTTTGGAGTTTCCAATTTTACCCCAATACAATAGACCAACAATAGATTTTTTCAGCTGTGGTGTTGTGGTAATTTCCAGGGACAATGATTTTTATATATTTATAATAGATTCCATTCTCCCTGGTTATATTTGATCTGCAATCATTCTAAAACCTATTTTTAAATTTTCTTCAGTCCTACACACTCAAGTAAAAGATGTTGGATAGTGTTGTATTTCAAAATTTTCCCTCTCATATTTTCTGAAGATTTTTTTTCCTTACATAGTGGTTACAAACACTTGGTTAAAGAAAGAGGAAATTTTTGAATATTAGCAAAGTGTCTTTCGATTGGCAGTTCAACAATGTCCTTCCATTGGTAGTTAAACAGTGCCCTTCGATTGGCATAACAACAAGTTTCGACCGAGCTCTTAAAATCTTTCGATACAAGCTTGACTCACTAGTCTTCAATTGGGTATTTAACACCCTTCGATCAAGATTTGGTCCACAAGTCTATGATTGAGCTTTATTTTTCTTTGAAATGGTTCCCTTCGATTCAGAAAGAAAGGGAGCTCCTTTTGGCTTCCTTCGTTTGAAGCACCTTTGGCTTCTTTCGTTTGGAGCATCTCTGGGCCTCCTTTGTTTGAAGCATCTTTGACTTCTTTCGTTTGGAGCATCTTTGGGCCTCATTCGTTTGAAGCACCTCTGGCTTCCTTCGTTTGAAGCATCTCTTGGCCTCCTTTGTTTGAAGCACCTTTGGTTTCTTTCACATAGGCCCATTTGGACAAATGACCTGCATGCCTTCTTGCACAAGGCAGGAATTTTCTTCATACCTACAAGACAAACACCTGGTACATGCCTGCCTGCACAAGGCAGGAACTTCCCTCATGCTAAGTTTTGACAACCCAATTTCCACATTATGACATTCTAAAAGTCCATTCGAAGGACGCATATTGCTGGCCATTTGAAGAAGCCGAATCAGAGTCATTCGAAGAAGCATGCAAGAGGTCCAATCGAAGGGCAAGAATTGAAGACATTCAAAGGACACATATTTCTAGCCATTCGAAGAAGCTAAATCAGAGTCATTCGATGAAGCATGCAAGAGGTTCAATCGAAGGGCAAAAATTGAAGGCATTTGAAGGACGCATATTGCTGGCCATTCGAAGAAGCTGAATCAGAGTCATTCGAAGAAGCATGCAAGAGGTCCAATCGAAGGGCAAGGATTGAAGGCATTCGAAGGAGCCAATTTTTCCATATTCACTCAAATTTCAAAAGAGGACAAGATCTCATGTTTTTGGCCACAGTTACAAAACTTCATTCATGACCTTGAAAACGTTTGTTTATGGCAGTTAAACTTTTGTCTTCTTATCCCCTCCCTCCTATTCTATATAAGCATCATGCTTGCAAGCCAAAGACACATGTTGGATACACGCTGCCCATAAACCCACCATAGTTATCAAAAAATAATCCAAGAGTATCCAGCAACTCTAGTCTCCATACAAGTTCAATTTTTCAGCAAGGTAAGTCCCATTGACCTTGTACCTTTCGTTTCAGCATGTCATGTAAATAACATCTATTCACCTTTTATTTCTGTCCTTTTCGATTGCATGTTTTTCTTGTCTAAATATACAT